AATGTAACATTTTCATCTTATTAAAGAAGATTTTGGTTTGTGAAGGTGGAGGATATTCGATCGAAAGACTAATTTATGAAATTTCTTTTACATTCTACTAGTTTTTCACTTTCATTCCCTATAGTATGACTATTGCATAAATTTGAGTTCTTATATGTAGATTATGGTTTATTATTTCAGGGCGGGGGTGCTTGCATTAAACGAGTGAAAGTCGAGCAAGAAATTGACCAGAATTTTGTGTATCAAGTGGAAATTGGAGAAAATAATGTGAGAGCCCGTGATGTAGATATGAAATCTAAACATGTTCATCTTATTCTATAACATGTTTATTTTATTATGTAACATGTTCATCTTATTCTATAACATGTTCATTTTATTATGTAACATGTTCATCTTATCCTATAACATGTTCATTTTATTATGTAACATGTTCATCTTATTTTATAACATGTTCATCTAAATTTCATATGTGAAAAGTGTAACATTTTCATCTTATTAGAGAGGATTTTGGTTTGTGAAGGTGGAGGATATTCGATCGAAAGACTAATTTATGGAATTTCTTTTACATTCTACTAGTTTTTCACTTTCATTCCCTATAGTATGACTATTGCATAAATTTGAGTTCTTATCTGTAGATTATGGTTTATTATTTCAGGGCGGAGATGCTTGCATTAAACGAGTGAAAGTCGAGCAAGAAATTGACCAGAATTTTATATATGAAGTGGAAATTGGAGAAAATAATGTGAGAGCCCGTGATGTAGATATGGAATCTAAACATGTTCATCTTATTCTATTACATGTTCATTTTATTATGTAACATGTTCATCTAAATTTCATCTCTGAAAAATATAACATTTTCATCTTATTCTATGACATGTTCATCTTACTCTATAACATGTTAATCTTACTATGTAACATATTTATCTAATTATATATTTGCGTCATAATCTTCCAATAAGATAAATTAATTGTAAAAAATGATAAATTAATTGTGTTCCAATGTTCATATGTTCATCTTACTATATAACATGTTCATATGTTCATCTTATTTTATAACACGTTCATATGTTCATCTTATTGTGTAAATATGTAACATGTTCATCTTATTCTATAACATGTTCATCTTGTTATGTAACATGTTCATCTTATTGTATAAAATGTTCATCTAAATTCCATCTGTAAAATTATAACATTTTCATCTTGTTCTATAACATGTTCATTTTACTATATAACATACGCATCTTAGTATGTAACATATTCATCTTATTATATATTTGTGTCATCACCTTCCAAAAAGATAATTTAATTATAAAAAATGATAAATTAATTGTGTTCCAAAACTTATCAAATGTGGTCTCTATTTGTAGAGATTGAAAAATTATGAATTTTGGTATTTTTATTTTTATTTTTTAATATAAAATGTGAATAATAATTTAATTTATATAATATGATATGTAAAATTTATTATCCAATATATATTGGACACTTGTCTTTTTTAAAAAAAAAAAAAAAAAACTTGCATACCTTATTATCTCTCTCTCTCTGCGCGTGGGAAAGGATTTGGACAGGATTTTCATTTTAAGGCCACGCTCCTTTTTCTTACGTGCATTCACTCTCTGCCTTGGCACACCTAGCAAGATGTACCTAGGTGCACGTAAGTATTTGCGTGTCATTTATACTATAATCCAAAAAATAGACAAGAAAATTATAAAGGACAAAATATATATATATATACATATACCTCGTAAAATAAAATATTAATAATAAAATAAATCCATTGCCAGAACCCTCACAGAGTGGCAAATACACGTGGCACCACAGAAATTCACAAAAATCTTTGATAGAAAAATATCGGCTGAATCAACATGAAAAATCTTGGTAACACTGAATAAAACTTTTAACTAAAATTGAATTTAACATTTAATAATACCAAAATACGACAGTAAAAATAACACAATTTATATTACAATCCTCAAGTCATTCAAAGCAAAAATAATTTTTTAACTATGAAAGGTCAAACCTAAGGAAGGAAAAGAAATAAAATGGATAATAAATAACACAATAAAACACAAAAACATAAAAAATCATTCCAAAGTAGAAATAAATTTTGAAATTTAACAAGGCAAGACCTGAAAGTAAAAAAGAAAAAATAAAATAAGATAGATAATAAATAAAATAAAAATAAAAACAATAAAATAAATAAGACTTTACAGTCCCTCTGAGCTTATAGAAGAGCCGAAGTGAAACACTTCAACACAGCCGCCTCCTTAACCCTTCCTCTGTTTTTGTGCTCACACTTCCTCTATCTATTTTCTTTTATCTTCTTTTTTCTTTTTCATAGATTTAATCCATGTCAATTATTCTTCCTTTGTTCTTTCTCTGGAAATGATTGTTTGATTCTTGTGGGCGACTGAGGAATCACCATTTTAGGTACCTTTTTCTGTTTCCTGGGTTCTGTTCTTGCATTTGTTGCCCCGTGAAATGTTAAAGTTTGCAACTTTTCTTCTGTATTTGGCTTTTTTTGGTTTCTTGTTGTTTTAATGGCGATTTACACTTAATTGAAGTGTTGAACTGTGGTTTGATGTCTTTTTTTTTGTTTTCTTCTTTTGCAAGATTTTGTGTTTCTTACTGTCTTGATTCTTGTGATGAATGTTTTTTTTTTCTTTTTTTGTTTTTCATTTTTTTTTTGGCGTTTTAGTAGTTTTTGGGATGAGGGTTGTACTGTTTAATGTTTCGATTTGGTAAAGATTGTACCTTTTTGTCATAAATATTGCATATTTGTTGAGAATTGGAATGTTAGTCTGGGTGTGAATCATTATTTGTTGGGAGAATTTTCTGAGCTGAGGAGAAATTGATTTGGCCCTTTTGTGTCTACTCTATAGTTTCAAAGTTCCAGGTTTTGAAAGTTTGCTTTTGATTAATCACTATTTATTGATTAATTTAATACATTTTTTTTCCTTGGTGAAAACATAGTGCAATTTTAGTTCAAGACAAAGTAGTTGTGGCATATTGATAACAATTGATATTGCTCAACACATGATTGATAACTTGTTGTTAACTTCTGTTTCTATATGTCATCATTCTTGCTGAGTGAATATATGTAATGTGTTACTGAAGATATTTGATAAACTTTGGTAAAAAATTGCCAACAATAATTTTCATATATACTTCCGGTTTTGTTTGTTGTTATAATCATTTCAGTCTGCAAATCATTTTNAAAAAAAGGTCGTATACTGTAGATGGAGTATCTATTTTAGCATAAATTTGTTTGTGTATACACATTGCTTTTCAACTAAACACCATACTCAGATATTGAATCCAGATGAAAGTTACGAATACTCCAAGTTGTCATTTTTGTATCTCTATATCTAAATCTTCTCTTTCAGTTTGGTCTTGATACGTAAACCTTTCCAGCTGTTATCATCAACCACATATCGCTAATTATCAGTTATTATATTTATAAACAGTTCATCACTTGTTCTCCAAATTACATTTTCCCTTTGGTTAGTCTGTCTTTTCTTCCTAACGAGCTATCGAAAAGAGTGACTCAACTTCTACTGGAAAAAAAAAACATTCAGTCTCCCTCCTTCTTTCTCACTCGATTGTCACATGATCAATATTATCATTATAGTCCTTACACATCTGTTAATTTTTTTTTTAACCACCGATTTACTTACATACAGATCATGTTACGTGCAAAGCATCTCGGCACACTTTCCCAGTCTGCCCGTTCTTTCTTCCTTAGCGGCTCAAGATGTAGCGCGGCTGATGGGAGCAGTTCATGCACTTGTACAGACGAAGAAACTTGCATTTCCAAACGGCCCCTAAGAACAAGCATTCAATCGGCCTCTCTACTTTCAAAATCTCCCGTGACCGTAAATCCACTAGTAGCTTCTTCAGTCGGTTTAGTGAAAAAAGAAGCAAATTCCAACAAGACAACCGAGAATGGCTGTTTGTCGAAGCAAGAAGATTCCATTAATTATGCAGCAGCAGAAGAAAATAACGCCAAGGAAATTATACATTCTTCATCGCCACCTATAGCCGATCATTTTATTAAGGCGGGTATGGCTGCAGTCGGGCTTTTGTCCGATTTGGTAAATTATCGAATTCCGATGACAGAGGGGAGCTCGATGCTGACATCATCTGGTAACTCGGTTGTTGAACGCGTGAAGCCCGTTTCTACTGTCAGGTCTGTAAATACGAAAATCTCTAAAAAGGACAGCAAAGCATATGTAAAACCATCATCCGAACAAATTTCCAGGCCAAACGCTGCAAATGGCGGCTCGAATGTTGCAACCGGGAAAGATAATAAAGTTGGGCTGAGCGAATCGAATAATGTGTCAAGAAATTTTGTAGACAGTAACGGAGAGCATCGTGATAGGATGATAAAGTCGATTCCTCAAAAGTCGTCTAAAGGCTATTCGAATCGATTCACACCAAACACGCCACAATCCGAATCGAAGTTCGGTGCTAGCCGATCTGAAGGTTTTACCAAAGGGAAACCAATTTCGAGGCCATTTTTAAGCTCGAATACAATTGTCGAGAGTGTTTACCGTATTCTGCAACAGTATAAGTGGGGGCCCACTTCAGAGGAGGCTCTCGTAAGGCTCAACTGCTCACTAGACGCGTACCAAGCTAACCAAGTGCTCAAACAGCTTCAAGATTACTCTGTAGCTCTTGGTTTTTTCTACTGGCTGAAAAGAAAACCGGGCTTCAAGCACGATAGCCACACGTACACGACAATGGTCGGAATTCTCGGGCGAGCTCGACAATTCGGTGCCATCACTAAATTGCTCGGTCAAATGATGTATGATGGCTGCCAGCCGAATATCGTCACTTACAATCGCCTTATTCACAGCTATGGCCGAGCGAATTACTTAAACGAGGCCATGGGAGTTTTCAATCAGATGCAGCAAGTCGGATGTGAGCCCGACAGAGTAACTTACTGTACGCTTATCGATATCCACGCGAAATCGGGCTATCTCGACGTCGCAATCGATTTATATCACAGAATGCAAGAAGTCGGGCTTTCGCCCGACACTTTCACTTACAGCGTGATAATAAACTGCCTCGGGAAGGCGGGACACCTGGCGGCAGCCCACAAGCTGTTCTGCGAAATGGTCGATCAAGGCTGCGTGCCGAACCTCGTGACTTACAATATAATGATTGCTTTGCATGCGAAAGCTCGAAACTACCAGAGCTCTCTTCAGTTATACCGCGAGATGCAGAGCGCGGGATTCGAGCCCGATAAAGTCACGTACAGTATAGTAATGGAGGTTCTTGGTCACTGTGGCTACCTAGACGAGGCTGAGGCCGTTTTTGCCGAGATGAAGAGGAAGAATTGGGTTCCAGACGAGCCCGTTTACGGGCTTCTCGTTGATTTGTGGGGAAAATCGGGTAATGTGGAGAAGGCATGGGAGTGGTATCGGGCCATGCTGAACGCGGGCCTAAGGCCCAACGTGCCCACGTGTAATTCTCTACTCAGCGCCTTTCTTAGAGACCACAGGCTTCGAGATGCATACAATTTGCTACAGAGCATGATTGGCCTGGGCCTGAGCCCGTCTCTCCAAACCTACACACTTCTCCTCAGCTGCTGCACGGAGGCCCGAACTTCCTTCGACATGGCCTTTTGCTGCCAGCTCATGACTGTTTCGGGCCACCCGGCCCACACTTTCCTTCTCTCCATGCCAGCTCCAGGGCCCGATGGCAAAAACGTTCGGGACCACGTCAGCAACTTTCTCGACATGATGCATAGCGAAGACAGGGAAAGTAAACGAGGGCTTGTAGATGCTGTGATCGATTTTTTTCATAAAACGGGCTTGAAAGAAGAGGCGGGGTCCGTTTGGGAAGTGGCTGCGCGGAAAAACGTGTACCCAGATGCGGTTAAAGAGAAGGGTAATTGCTATTGGCTGATAAATCTGCATGTGATGTCGGATGGGACAGCTGTCACTGCACTTTCGAGGACTCTTGCTTGGTTTCGTAAGGAGCTGCTGGTTTCGGGTATTTGCCCGACAAGGATTGATATTGTGACGGGTTGGGGAAGGAGGAGTCGGGTTACAGGGTCGTCTCTCGTTAGGCAGGCGGTTGAGGAGTTGCTTAATGTGTTTAGGTTCCCGTTTTTTACGGAGAATGGGAACTCGGGTTGTTTTGTTGGATGTGGGGAGCCGCTTAACCGGTGGCTTTCGCAGTCGTATGTCGAGAGGATGCATTTGCTGTAGGTCTCTCTTCTTTTGGTGTTTTTTTTTTGGAGTAATTTTAGTGTGGATTGTGAACTGTTGTTTATCTATCTGTGTAAGGTAAATTTGAGTAATTTTATGGTTCCATCTTTGGTGTGATGGGTTTTTTGTGGTTTTACTTCTAATGTGTGTGATATTGTAGCATAATGTCACATGCTTTTGCTCTTTTGGCATTATGTTTGTGTTGGTTTTCAAGGGCTTAATTATTCTTGCATGCTTATGCTTTGAGCCTTTGATACGAAAACACAAAAAGCCTAGAAGAGTGAAGGAAGCATATATTATGTTGTAGTTTATGGTGTTTTTCCTTCATTTTAGCCTACATTTTTTTACTCAAGAAAAGGAAAAACAGAAAAGGATTAATTTGCTCTTTTTTTTCTTTCTGTTCTTCGATTTTCTCAGATCACAATTTTTGGGTTCACCTCATTAGTTAGGTTCTTGTTTGAAATAATCACACTTCTATCAAACTTGCTATCAGCACATTAAACTAGAACAAAAATTCCATACCCTAAGACTAAAAAAACTTTTATAAACTTAGCATGATTCTAATACTTAACCATATTATAACTCACCCAATTCAAACCTGATACAAAAAGGTAAAATGCTCTTTAAACCATCAAATTCAAACCACACCAAAAATGCACATCAGAGCACTTAAGTTATTGTTGAATCAATTTTCAATTCCAACTCTCAGGAAAAATGTAAAAAAGATGCATAAGGTCATGCAAATGCAGTCAATCTCTCCAAAGTCTCATGCTTTTCTTGCCTCATGTAAACAAGTTGCATCTTTTGTTTGCTCCTCTTAATAAGCGGTATATATTAAAGAACTCTTAAAAATCACCTTTCATAATTCATTGGAATCAGATTTTTTTTTTTTTTTTGAAAATAAAAATCATGGTTAAAAACTCCTGTCCTGAAATGCAAAAGGCCTTTTGGGATGAAAGGGAAGATGGAAAAACGTTCGGCTACGGCTCGAAACAGCAAGGCGCAGGTAACTGGACGACATTTTCCAAGAGATCGGGTAAGAAAAATGAGTTCTTGATTAGGGATTTCGAGTATATATTCGAACTTTTATGTCTTTCAAGTTTTAACAAGACTAATGGAGCAATTAGGAAACTCTAGAAAAGCATTGATTAGCAAGAAGCCTATGTTGACTTACTATTTACAGTCAGAAGCTGAGATTCCCTTCCTTTATTTCTTGTAACATAGATATCACAATGAAGACTAATGTTGTTTTAGTTACAAATTCTTGTGAGTGAGAGCCTAACCGTTAGGTGAGTCGATTCGTCATAACTTTTATTTAACAAAAATGCATATTTATGTAATGAAATGTCAAACTTTAGTTTATGTTTATTTTCATAAGACAATTCAGCTTGCAAATATACATATCTTCTGAAAAATGTATGACTAATAATTTTTTGATATAGTTTGTGCAACAGGACAGAGAAGAAGTGGGAAAAGTAGCAGGGAAAAATGGAGTAATAATAATAATCAGAAGCTTGATCCTAGACAAAAGAGCTTTACCCCTCAAGAAGAAGATTTGGTTATACAGCTTCATGCAGCAATAGGGAGCAGGTAACCTTGAACAATTTCTATATTTATTGAACAAAACAAACTAATGGTCAGGTAATTGTACATTTTCCAACAAATGTTCATACTTTGTCATACAGCTAAAAAGATAATATATACTACAAAAGTTTGACAGGTCAACTTGCTTAATGGTTAGAACCGCCAAACACTGAAAAATCCTATGGTTTTTTAACAAAGCTTCATTACCTTTATTTGCTGATTCTTGTTTGCTGCTGGCCAAACAAAGTTATATAGTTACCATTTTCAATACCAAACAAAGAAGCATTCTCAAATGTGACATGTAACCTTAAACCCATTTCAATTTTCTAACTACCTTAACTGTAACAAACAACACCCAACTGCTCTCAACTGCCAAAAACAACACCACACATGTTCAAGATTCACTAATTTGTTGTACCTTAAACACAAATATTATTAGCTTATTACAAAATTCGTGTTTTCCTATGCTTTTAGGTGGCCCATAATAGCCCAACAACTCCCCGGAAAAACCGATAGCGACATAAAAATCTTATGGAACTCCAAATTGCGAAAAAAGCTCTCGGCAATGGGAATCGATCCCGTGACTCACAAGCCATTTTCCCAAATCCTTGCAGACTACGGCAACATAGGCGCTTTCCCCAAGGCTCGGAGTACCCATTTTAGCTCCCTATCGAAGGACCTAAAAAAACCCGCAATCATTTTCAACAAAAGTACCGAACAATTCCAAAAATGCCCTCAAACTCTCATTCCAACTCATTTCTCATCATCATCATCATCATCATCGTCTTCACCTCCGATCGATCTCTACTCCCAACTTCAAGCTGTGAATTTTATCACCGAGGCTTCGAACTACACAAAAACCGAAAACAATACCGCGAAAGAGTGCGAAAGTTATTCGGGCTTTAGTTGGGGTGATTTTTTTCTCGAGGAACCCTTCTCGGGCCAAGAAGCGGACGGACAAGAGAACAGAGGGGCATTTTTGGAAATTGACAAAAATGTCGAGGGGAAGGGAAAATGTGGAGCCGTCGAGGATAAAAATGTCGGTTTTTTTGAAGGGCCTTCGAGCTCGAAGTCTTTCGTGGATGCCATGCTGGAAAACCAGGATGCCATGTTTTCTCAACTGTCTTGCTTTTATGAGGAGCCATTTTACTACTGAGAAATGATTATTAATACAAGTGTTGATTTTGTGTCTTGATGAACAATGCAAGTGTTTTTGTAATAAATTTATCTGAGAGGAGTATTGAAGAAGTTGATCTTTGGAATTTTTTTTTTTAACATACATTAAAGATTAAACTTCATCCTTGTTGCTAATTTGATTGAAATTGACATTGGTCGATAATCTCCAAAAATATTTTATATTTATCAATCAAAGATATATTGAAGTTGTTGCAAGCACTATTTTTTTTTTAATAAATAAATGCGTGACAAAATATAATTAGCTAAATATTGTGATTATTTGAGCTCCAAAATTACTGCAGCTCATGTTGGACTTAAAACTGCAATTGCCATTATTTTCTTTACCAAATTTCGTTTCTTCATATCATCATATGCATGCATGAAAAGCCTAAAATGTGATTATCTACATATCTATTTTTAATTTAAATATTTTTTTAATAAAAAAAAAAAACATCTATCTTTATGGTGATCTCGAATTTAAATGGAAGAATTTTATTCAAAATAAGAATTTTCTCAATTTTAGCTCCACATCAGCTTGAAGTTGACTCGAATTCAGCTCGAGTTCGATGTATTAAGGTAAATTGAGCGTCTCGTCAAACACTCGAGCTTATAAAATATATGCTCGAGTTCAAATCGAGTACCTCGAAGTCAACTCAAGTATAGTCAAACTCGAGCTTGAATTGTCCATTGACTCAATCATTCGCTAGCTCAAGTACAAATCGAAATTGACTCGATTGTACCTTATGGCTTGCGAACTGCTCATTTAGTTTTCTCCACTAGTTTGCAGGCACATACATAGGCAATTTATTCAATAATTTCAAAAAAAGCTAGCATTGTGCATGTTAATGGGTTTTTTTTTCACCTTAAATATATCAGATTTTTTTAGCAGTTTTCAATAAATTATTAGTGGGCACCCAAAAATGAACCAAAAAAATTGATCTTTGATTCAGAAAAACACAGAAGGGGAAAAAGGAGAAAACAGAAAACGAAAATGGTGGCGATCTCACTGTACAAAGGCAGCCTCCACAAAGCGTCCGGCGTGTCCCGTCGATGGTCGCCGCCGGCCCCAAGGATCTCGCTCAAGGACTTCAAGATTCTCCTCTGTCGCCGCGACAGGGCCCTCGCCCGCCTACGCTCCTCCTCCGCCGCTGCCGATGTCGATGTCGGGACGGCTTCAAGCCCTAGACCCGATCCTCTGCCCAATCGCGCTAATACCAATTCAATCCATCCGGACAATGATGTGAGTAAAAGGGTTGGAGATAATCATGTCGATAATCACTGTTCTGAACCTGAATTGCTGCCCAAGGGGGTTTTGAAGGAGGAGGAAGTGAGAGAGATGGTGACGGATGAGAGAGAAAATTTATTTAGGGAATTTGTGGAGAAAGCTGATGCTATGTTGGAGGAGCAGAAGGATGAAGAGAATGTTAAGGCTCTTGTGGGTGAGGTATTGTGTTAATGGAGATATGCTTCAGAACCTGTGTTGTTATGTTCTTATTGTGGATTTTGTCTTTGAATTTGGTGATTGTGCTCTTGGCCTGTGTT